CCGCGCTGAGCTAGTCACTACAGGGGCATCCTATTCTCATGTCCTATTTAGGCGGCCATACCAGTCACCTTCACCCCTAGGCTCCACCCCCAACGTTGGCTGCATATTCTCAGCATATTCCCGCTCGGTATGCCGGTTCAATCGGTATGTGACTGCATATTCCCGACCTCAGCCGAACACGACATATGCCCCTAAAGGTCTAATGATGGCGAGACTCAAATATCCACTGACTAAGGCTCAAACCTTGTGCGGCTTGCACCTACGACCAGGGTGAGGTTGGCTGAAAACGGCAAATAAGCTGGAAATAGTCATCCCAGTGTATTTGGTTCAGTCAGTAAGACTTCTCGATCTTGTTGCTGCTTGAGCAGTTCGTAGACCCCGACAAAAGGTATATACCGCTGCACACCTTGAGGTCTTTTGTGAGTCGGTCTATACTTGGCTGCTACGGAGACCGGAAACAACGAGCACTTTCCAAAGTGCACTTCGACTTTAGCTAGTCACGACAGGCGTTCACAAGTGCACTTCGTGTTGAGCCAGTCACTACAAGTGCTCCCGTCCTAGACCGTCGTTCTTTGATGAACCAAGTCGAACGAAGGAGAATAGTAAAGATAAGGAAGGAGGTACGTACCAACGGTAGGGATTAAACAGCTGGTGTTCGTGTAGCTGGTTGGAGGGACGGCTGTGACTTGCATGAGCTTATGTGGCTGGCATGTGTGAGTCACTGCCTCTTCCTCACTCTTCTCATCATCATCATCATCATCATCATCATCATCATCATCATCATCATCATCCTTTCATCATCATCATCATCATCATCATCATCATCATCATCATCATCATCATCATCATCATCACCATCATCAACATCATCATCATCATCATCATCATCATCATCATCATCATCGGTCCTTCCTACCTTTTCCTTCTCGCATGCATCAGTGAACTGTCTGACCTAGTACATCATCATCATCATCATATTATTATTATTATTATTATTATTATTATTATTATGTCCTCCTCATCATCATCATCATCATCATCATCATACTCATCATCATTATCATCATCATCATCACCATCATCAACATCATCATCATCATCATCATCATCATCATCATCATCATCGGTCCTTCCTACCTTTTCCTTCTCGCATGCATCAGTGAACTGTCTGACCTAGTCAGTTTCAGTTTTCAGTTTATTTGGTGAGGATAAAAGGCAATGCCTTTGAAAACCCTATTTAGCACGTGTAAATTTACCACTACTAA